ACTCTATATACACACATCTCCGTTTTAGGGTTATCGTGGAATGATAACTGACACTCATGAGCGGAAATTGGGGCAAACGTCTTCGCTTACGGTCAAATCACGCTGAAAACACCGGTTCTCGTTCGATCACCGAAGTTAAGCATCGTAGAGCCAGGTCAGTACTTAGATGGGGGACCGCTTGGGAACACCTGGTACTGTAAGCCAGACCGGTTCTTCCGTTTTAGGGTTATCGTGGAATGATAACTGACACTCATGAGCGGGAATTGGGGCAAACGTCTTCGCTTACGGTCAAATCACGCTTGAAAACACCGGTTCTCGTTCGATCACCGAAGTTAAGCATCGTAGAGCCAGGTCAGTACTTAGATGGGGGACCGCTTGGGAACACCTGGTACTGTAAGCCAGACCGGTTCTTCCGTTTTAGGGTTATCGTGGAATGATAACTGACACTCATGAGCGGAAATTGGGGCAAACGTCTTCGCTTACGGTCAAATCACGCTGAAAACACCGGTTCTCGTTCGATCACCGAAGTTAAGCATCGTAGAGCCAGGTCAGTACTTAGATGGGGGACCGCTTGGGAACACCTGGTACTGTAAGCCAGACCGGTTCTTCCGTTTTAGGGTTATCGTGGAATGATAACTGACACTCATGAGCGGAAATTGGGGCAAACGTCTTCGGTCAAATCACGCTGAAAACACCGGTTCTCAAATCATCGTAGAGCCAGGTCAGAAAAACACCGGTTCTTCTTCCGTTTTAGGGTTATCGAATCAACGACACTTAAGTCTTCGCTTACGGTCAAATCACGTAGAAAACACCGGTTCTCGTTCGATCACCGAAGTTCGTAGAGCCAGGTCCAGGTCAGTACTTAGATGGGGGACCGCTTGGGAACACCTGGTACTGTAAGCCAGACCGGTTCTTCCGTTTTAGGGTTATCGTGGAATGATAACTGACACTCATGAGCGGAAATTGGGGCAAACGTCTTCGCTTACGGTCAAATCACGCTGAAAACACCGGTTCTCGTTCGATCACCGAAGTTAAGCATCGTAGAGCCAGGTCAGTACTTAGATGGGGGACCGCTTGGGAACACCTGGTACTGTAAGCCAGACCGGTTCTTCCGTTTTAGGGTTATCGTGGAATGATAACTGACACTCATGAGCGGAAATTGGGGCAAACGTCTTCGCTTACGGTCAAATCACGCTGAAAACACCGGTTCTCGTTCGATCACCGAAGTTAAGCATCCAGGTCAGTAGAGCCAGGTCAGTACTTAGATGGGGGACCGCTTGGGAACACCTGGTACTGTAAGCCAGACCGGTTCTTCCGTTTTAGGGTTATCGTGGAATGATAACTGACACTCATGAGCGGAAATTGGGGCAAACGTCTTCGCTTACGGTCAAATCACGCTGAAAACACCGGTTCTCGTTCGATCACCGAAGTTAAGCATCGTAGAGCCAGGTCAGTACTTAGATGGGGGACCGCTTGGGAACACCTGGTACTGTAAGCCAGACCGGTTCTTCCGTTTTAGGGTTATCGTGGAATGATAACTGACACTCATGAGCGGAAATTGGGGCAAACGTCTTCGCTTACGGTCAAATCACGCTGAAAACACCGGTTCTCGTTCGATCACCGAAGTTAAGCATCGTAGAGCCAGGTCAGTACTTAGATGGGGGACCGCTTGGGAACACCTGGTACTGTAAGCCAGACCGGTTCTTCCGTTTTAGGGTTATCGTGGAATGATAACTGACACTCATGAGCGGAAATTGGGGCAAACGTCTTCGCTTACGGTCAAATCACGCTGAAAACACCGGTTCTCGTTCGATCACCGAAGTTAAGCATCGTAGAGCCAGGTCAGTACTTAGATGGGGGACCGCTTGGGAACACCTGGTACTGTAAGCCAGACCGGTTCTTCCGTTTTAGGGTTATCGTGGAATGATAACTGACACTCATGAGCGGAAATTGGGGCAAACGTCTTCGCTTACGGTCAAATCACGCTGAAAACACCGGTTCTCGTTCGATCACCAGGTCAGTACTTAATGGGGGATCACCTGGTACTGAGCCAGACCGGTTCTTCCGTTTTAGGGTTATCGTGGAATGATAACTGACACTCAGATGGGGACCGCTTCTCGTTCGATCAACACCCAGGTACTGTGGGGAAACACCTGGTACTGTAAGCCAGACCGGTTCTTCCGTTTTAGGGTTATCGTGGAATGATAACTGACACTCATGAGCGGAAATTGGGGCAAACGTCTTCCGCTTTAGGGTTATCGGTCAAATCAAATCACGAAAACACCGGTTCTCGTTCGATCACCGAAGTTAAGCATCGTAGAGCCAGGTCAGTACTTAGATGGGGGACCGCTTGGGAACACCTGGTACTGTAAGCCAGACCGGTTCTTCCGTTTTAGGGTTATCGTGGAATGATAACTGACACTCATGAGCGGAAATTGGGGCAAACGTCTTCGCTTACGGTCAAATCACGCTGAAAACACCGGTTCTCGTTCGATCACCGAAGTTAAGCATCGTAGAGCCAGGTCAGTACTTAGATGGGGGGGGACCGCTTGGGAACACCTGGTACTGTAAGCCAGACCGGTTCTTCCGTTTTAGGGTTATCGTGGAATGATAACTGACACTCATGAGCGGAAATTGGGGCAAACGTCTTCGCTTACGGTCAAATCACGCTGAAAACACCGGTTCTCGTTCGATCACCGAAGTTAAGCATCGTAGAGCCAGGTCAGTACTTAGATGGGGGACCGCTTGGGAACACCTGGTACTGTAAGCCAGACCGGTTCTTCCGTTTTAGGGTTATCGTGGAATGATAACTGACACTCATGAGCGGAAATTGGGGCAAACGTCTTCGCTTACGGTCAAATCACGCTGAAAACACCGGTTCTCGTTCGATCACCGAAGTTAAGCATCGTAGAGCCAGGTTCAGTTTTAGGGTTATCGTGGAATGATAACTTAGATGGGGACCGCTTTCGGGAACACCTGGTACTGTAAGCCAGACCGGTTCTTCCGTTTTAGGGTTATCGTGGAATGATAACTGACACTCATGAGCGGAAATTGGGGCAAACGTCTTCGCTTACGGTCAAATCACGCTGAAAACACCGGTTCTCGTTCGATCACCGAAGTTAAGCATCGTAGAGCCAGGTCAGTACTTAGATGGGGGACCGCTTGGGAACACCTGGTACTGTAAGCCAGACCGGTTCTTCCGTTTTAGGGTTATCGTGGAATGATAACTGACACTCATGAGCGGAAATTGGGGCAAACGTCTTCGCTTACGGTCAAATCACGCTGAAAACACCGGTTCTCGTTCGATCACCGAAGTTAAGCATCGTAGAGCCAGGTCAGTACTTAGATGGGGGACCGCTTGGGAACACCTGGTACTGTAAGCCAGACCGGTTCTTCCGTTTTAGGGTTATCGTGGAATGATAACTGACACTCATGAGCGGAAATTGGGGCAAACGTCTTCGCTTACGGTCAAATCACGCTTGAAAACACCGGTTCTCGTTCGATCACCGAAGTTAAGCATCGTAGAGCCAGGTCAGTACTTAGATGGGGGACCGCTTGGGGGGAACACCTGGTACTGTAAGCCAGACCGGTTCTTCCGTTTTAGGGTTATCGTGGAATGATAACTGACACTCATGAGCGGAAATTGGGGCAAACGTCTTCGCTTACGGTCAAATCACGCTGAAAACACCGGTTCTCGTTCGATCACCGAAGTTAAGCATCGTAGAGCCAGGTCCGTAGGTCAGTACTTAGATGGGGGACCGCTTGGGAACACCTGGTACTGTAAGCCAGACCGGTTCTTCCGTTTTAGGGTTATCGTGGAATGATAACTGACACTCATGAGCGGAAATTGGGGCAAACGTCTTCGCTTACGGTCAAATCACGCTGAAAACACCGGTTCTCGTTCGATCACCGAAGTTAAGCATCGTAGAGCCAGGTCAGTACTTAGATGGGGGACCGCTTGGGAACACCTGGTACTGTAAGCCAGACCGGTTCTTCCGTTTTAGGGTTATCGTGGAATGATAACTGACACTCATGAGCGGAAATTGGGGGGACAAACGTCTTCGCTTACGGTCAAATCACGCTGAAAACACCGGTTCTCGTTCGATCACCGAAGTTAAGCATCGTAGAGCCAGGTCAGTACTTAGATGGGGGACCGCTTGGGAACACCTGGTACTGTAAGCCAGACCGGTTCTTCCGTTTTAGGGTTATCGTGGAATGATAACTGACACTCATGAGCGGAAATTGGGGCAAACGTCTTCGCTTACGGTCAAATCACGCTGAAAACACCGGTTCTCGTTCGATCACCGAAGTTAAGCATCGTAGAGCCAGGTCAGTACTTAGATGGGGGACCGCTTGGGAACACCTGGTACTGTAAGCCAGACCGGTTCTTCCGTTTTAGGGTTATCGTGGAATGATAACTGACACTCATGAGCGGAAATTGGGGCAAACGTCTTCGCTTACGGTCAAATCACGCGTTGAAAACACCGGTTCTCGTTCGATCACCGAAGTTAAGCATCGTAGAGCCAGGTCAGTACTTAGATGGGGGACCGCTTGGGAACACCTGGTACTGTAAGCCAGACCGGTTCTTCCGTTTTAGGGTTATCGTGGAATGATAACTGACACTCATGAGCGGAAATTGGGGCAAACGTCTTCGCTTACGGTCAAATCACGCTGAAAACACCGGTTCTCGTTCGATCACCGAAGTTAAGCATCGTAGAGCCAGGTCAGTACTTAGATGGGGGACCGCTTGGGAACACCTGGTACTGTAAGCCAGACCGGTTCTTCCGTTTTAGGGTTATCGTGGAATGATAACTGACACTCATGAGCGGAAATTGGGGCAAACGTCTTCGCTTACGGTCAAATCACGCTGAAAACACCGGTTCTCGTTCGATCACCGAAGTTAATCATCGTAGAGCCAGGTCAGTACTTAGATGGGGGACCGCTTGGGAACACCTGGTACTGTAACCCAGACCGGTTCTTCCGTTTTAGGGTTATCGTGGAATGATAACTGACACTCATGTGGAATGATAACTGAAACTCATGAGCGGAAATTAAGCATCGCAAACGTCTTCGGGACTTACGGTCAAATCACGGTTCTGAAAACACCGGTTCTCGTTCGATCACCGAAGTTAAGCATCGTAGAGCCAGGTCCAGGTCAGTACTTAGATGGGGGACAGCTTGTGAACACCTGGTACTGTAAGCCAGAGCGGTTCTTCCGTTTTAGGGTTATCGTGGAATGATAACTGACACTCATGAGCGGAAATTAGGGCACACGTCTTCCCTTACGGTCAAATCACGCTGAAAACACCGGTTCTCGTTCGATCACCGAAATTAAGCATCGTAGAGCCAGGTCAGTACTTTAGATGGGGACCGCTTGGGAACACCTGGTACTGTAAGCCAGACCGGTTCTTCCGTTTTAGGGTTATCGTGGAATGATAACTGACACTCATGAGCGGAAATTGGGGCAAACGTCTTCGCTTACGGTCAAATCACGCTGAAAACACCGGTTCTCGTTCGATCACCGAAGTTAAGCATCGTAGAGCCAGGTCAGTACTTAGATGGGGGACCGCTTGGGAACACCTGGTACTGTAAGCCAGACCGGTTCTTCCGTTTTAGGGTTATCGTGGAATGATAACTGACACTCATGAGCGGAAATTGGGGCAAACGTCTTCGCTTACGGTCAAATCACGCTGAAAACACCGGTTCTCGTTCGATCACCGAAGTCGTAAGCATCGTAGAGCCAGGTCAGTACTTAGATGGGGGGTTACCGCTTGGGAACACCTGGTACTGTAAGCCAGACCGGTTCTTCCGTTTTAGGGGTTATCGTGGAATGATAACTGACACTCATGAGCGGAAATTGGGGCAAACGTCTTCGCTTACGGTCAAATCACGCTGAAAACACCGGTTCTCGTTCGATCACCGAAGTTAAGCATCGTAGAGCCAGGTCAGTACTTAGATGGGGGACCGCTTGGGAACACCTGGTACTGTAAGCCAGACCGGTTCTTCCGTTTTAGGGTTATCGTGGAATGATAACTGACACTCATGAGCGGAAATTGGGGCAAACGTCTTCGCTTACGGTCAAATCACGCTGAAAACACCGGTTCTCGTTCGATCACCGAAGTTAAGCATCGTAAGCCAGGTCAGTAATGGGGGACCGCTTGGGAACACCTGGTACTGTAAGCCAGACCGGTTCTTCCGTTTTAGGGTTATCGTGGAATGATAACCGGTTCTGAAAACACCGGTTCTTGATGGGGGACCGCTTGGGAACACCTGGTACTGTAAGCCAGACCGGTTCTTCCGTTTTAGGGTTATCGTGGAATGATAACTGACACTCATTTTAGGAGCGGAAATTGGGGCAAACTTCTTCGCTTACGGTCAAATCACGCTGAAAACACCGGTTCTCGTTCGATCACCGAAGTTAAGCATCGTAGAGCCAGGTCAGTACTTAGATGGGGGACCGCTTGGGAACACCTGGTACTGTAAGCCAGACCGGTTCTTCCGTTTTAGGGTTATCGTGGAATGATAACTGACACTCATGAGCGGAAATTGGGGCAAACGTCTTCGCTTACGGTCAAATCACGCTGAAAACACCGGTTCTCGTTCGATCACCGAAGTTAAGCATCGTAGAGCCAGGTCAGTACTTAGATGGGGGACCGCTTGGGAACACCTGGTACTGTAAGCCAGACCGGTTCTTCCGTTTTAGGGTTATCGTGGAATGATAACTGACACTCATGAGCGGAAATTGGGGCAAACGTCTTCGCTTACGGTCAAATCACGCTGAAAACACCGGTTTCTCGTTCGATCACCGAAGTTAAGCATCGTAGAGCCAGGTCAGTACTTAGATGGGGGACCGCTTGGGAACACCTGGTACTGTAAGCCAGACCGGTTCTTCCGTTTTAGGGTTATCGTGGAATGATAACTGACACTCATGAGCGGAAATTGGGGCAAACGTCTTCGCTTACGGTCAAATCACGCTGAAAACACCGGTTCTCGTTCGATCACCGAAGTTAAGCATCGTAGAGCCAGGTCAGTACTTAGATGGGGGACCGCTTGGGGACACCTGGTACTGTAAGCCAGACCGGTTCTTCCGTTTTAGGGTTATCGTGGAATGATAACTGACACTCATGAGCGGAAATTGGGGCAAACGTCTTCTTACGGTCAAATCACGTTAAAACGGTCAAATCACGTGAAAACACCGGTTCTCGTTCGATCACCGAAAATTTAAGCATCGTTCTCGTTCGAGCCAGCCAGGTCAGTACTTAGATGGGGACCGCTTGGGAACACCTGGTACTGTAAGCCAGACCGGTTCTTCCGTTTTAGGGTTATCGTGGAATGATAACTGACACTCATGAGCGGAAATTGGGGCAAACGTCTTCGCTTACGGTCAAATCACGCTGAAAACACCGGTTCTCGTTCGATCACCGAAGTTAAGCATCGTAGAGCCAGGTCAGTACTTAGATGGGGGACCGCTTGGGAACACCTGGTACTGTAAGCCAGACCGGTTCTTCCGTTTTAGGGTTATCGTGGAATGATAACTGACACTCATGAGCGGAAATTGGGGCAAACGTCTTCGCTTACGGTCAAATCACGCTGAAAACACCGGTTCTCGTTCGATCACCGAAGTTAAGCATCATAGAGCCAGGTCAGTACTTAGATGGGGGACCGCTTGGGAACACCTGGTACTGTAAGCCAGACCGGTTCTTCCGTTTTAGGGTTATCGTGGAATGATAACTGACACTCATGAGCGGAAATTGGGGCAAACGTCTTCGCTTACGGTCAAATCACGCTGAAAACACCGGTTCTCGTTCGATCACCGAAGTTAAGCATCGTAGAGCCAGGTCAGTACTTAGATGGGGGACCGCTTGGGAACACCTGGTACTGTAAGCCAGACCGGTTCTTCCGTTTTAGGGTTATCGTGGAATGATAACTGACACTCATGAGCGGAAATTGGGGCAAACGTCTTCGCTTACGGTCAAATCACGCTGAAAACACCGGTTCTCGTTCGATCACCGAAGTTAAGCATCGTAGAGCCAGGTCAGTACTTAGATGGGGGACCGCTTGGGAACACCTGGTACTGTAAGCCAGACCGGTTCTTCCGTTTTAGGGTTATCGTGGAATGATAACTGCGACACTCATGAGCGGAAATTGGGGCAAACGTCTTCGCTTACGGTCAAATCACGCTGAAAACACCGGTTCTCGTTCGATCACCGAAGTTAAGCATCGTAGAGCCAGGTCAGTACTTAGATGGGGGACCGCTTGGGAACACCTGGTACTGTAAGCCAGACCGGTTCTTCCGTTTTAGGGTTATCGTGGAATGATAACTGACACTCATGAGCGGAAATTGGGGCAAACGTCTTCGCTTACGGTCAAATCACGCTGAAAACACCGGTTCTCGTTCGATCACCGAAGTTAAGCATCGTAGAGCCAGGTCAAATGGGGACCGCTTGGGAAACCTGGTACTGTAAGCCAGACCGGTTCTTCCGTTTTAGGGTTATCGTGGAATGATAACTGACACTCATGAGAGCGGAAATTGGGGCAAACGTCTTCGCTTACGGTCAAATCACGCTGAAAAATGGGGTTCGATCACCGAAGTTAAGCATCGTAGAGCCAGGTCAGTACTTAGATGGGGGACCGCTTGGGAACACCTGGTACTGTAAGCCAGACCGGTTCTTCCGTTTTAGGGTTATCGTGGAATGATAACTGACACTCATGAGCGGAAATTGGGGCAAACGTCTTCGCTTACGGTCAAATCACGCTGAAAACACCGGTTCTCGTTCGATCACCGAAGTTAAGCATCGTAGAGCCAGGTCAGTACTTAGATGGGGGACCGCTTGGGAACACCTGGTACTGTAAGCCAGACCGGTTCTTCCGTTTTAGGGTTATCGTGGAATGATAACTGACACTCATGAGCGGAAATTGGGGCAAACGTCTTCGCTTACGGTCAAATCACGCTGAAAACACCGGTTCTCGTTCGATCACCGAAGTTAAGCATCGTAGAGCCAGGTCAGTACTTAGATGGGGGACCGCTTGGGAACACCTGGTACTGTAAGCCAGACCGGTTCTTCCGTTTTAGGGTTATCGTGGAATGATAACTGACACTCATGAGCGGAAATTGGGGCAAACGTCTTCGCTTACGGTCAAATCACGCTGAAAACACCGGTTCTCGTTCGATCACCGAAGTTAAGCATCGTAGAGCCAGGTCAGTACTTAGATGGGGGACCGCTTGGGAACACCTGGTACTGTAAGCCAGACCGGTTCTTCCGTTTTAGGGTTATCGTGGAATGATAACTGGTACTGTAAGCCACTTCCGTTTTAGGGTTATCGACACTCGCGATGAGCGGAAATTGGGGCAAACGTCTTCGCTTACGGTCAAATCACGCTGAAAACACCGGTTCTCGTTCGATCACCGAAGTTAAGCATCGTAGAGCCAGGTCAGTACTTAGATGGGGGACCGCTTGGGAACACCTGGTACTGTAAGCCAGACCGGTTCTTCCGTTTTAGGGTTATCGTGGAATGATAACTGACACTCATGAGCGGAAATTGGGGCAAACGTCTTCGCTTACGGTCAAATCACGCTTGAAAACACCGGTTCTCGTTCGATCACCGAAGTTAAGCATCGTAGAGCCAGGTCAGTACTTAGATGGGGGACCGCTTGGGAACACCTGGTACTGTAAGCCAGACCGGTTCTTCCGTTTTAGGGTTATCGTGGAATGATAACTGACACTCATGAGCGGAAATTGGGGCAAACGTCTTCGCTTACGGTCAAATCACGCTGAAAACACCGGTTCTCGTTCGATCACCGAAGTTAAGCATCGTAGAGCCAGGTCAGTACTTAGATGGGGGACCGCTTGGGAACACCTGGTACTGTAAGCCAGACCGGTTCTTCCGTTTTAGGGTTATCGTGGAATGATAACTGACACTCATGAGCGGAAATTGGGGCAAACGTCTTCGCTTACGGTCAAATCACGTCTTCGAAGTTAAGCATCGTAGAGCCAGGTCAGTACTTAGATGGGGGACCGCTTGAAAAACACTGTAAGCCAGACCGGTTCTTCCGTTTTAGTTATCGTGGAATGATAACTGACACTCATCGGAAATTGGGGCAAACGTCTTCGATCACCGAAAACACCGGTTAAGCATCACCGAAGTTAAGCATCGAGAGCCAGGTCAGTACTTAGATGGGGACCGCTTGGGAACACCTGGTACTGTAAGCCAGACCGGTTCTTCCGTTTTAGGGTTATCGTGGAATGATAACTGACACTCATGAGCGGAAATTGGGGCAAACGTCTTCGCTTACGGTCAAATCACGCTGAAAACACCGGTTCTCGTTCGATCACCGAAGTTAAGCATCGTAGAGCCAGGTCAGTACTTAGATGGGGGACCGCTTGGGAACACCTGGTACTGTAAGCCAGACCGGTTCTTCCGTTTTAGGGTTATCGTGGAATGATAACTGACACTCATGAGCGGAAATTGGGGCAAAGGTCTTCGCTTACGGTCAAATCACGCTGAAAACACAGGTTCTCGTTCGATCACTAAGTTAAGCATCGTAGAACCAGGTTCTTAGATGGGGGACCGCTTGGGAACACCTGGTACTCGACCGGTTCTTCCGTTTTACCGGAATGATAACTACACTCATGAGCGGAAATTGGGGCAAACGTCTTCGCTTACGGTCAAATCACGCTGAAAACACCGGTTCCACCGAAGGTCGTAGAGCCAGGTCAGTACTTAGATGGGGGACCGCTTGGGAACACCTGGTACTGTAAGCCAGACCGGTTCTTCCGTTTTAGGGTTATCGTGGAATGATAACTGACACTCATGAGCGGAAATTGGGGCAAACGTCTTCGCTTACGGTCAAATCACGCTGAAAACACCGGTTCTCGTTCGATCACCGAAGTTAAGCATCGTAGAGCCAGGTCAGTACTTAGATGGGGGACCGCTTGGGAACACCTGGTACTGTAAGCCAGACCGGTTCTTCCGTTTTAGGGTTATCGTGGAATGATAACTGACACTCATGAGCGGAAATTGGGGCAAACGTCTTCGCTTACGGTCAAATCACGCTGAAAACACCGGTTCTCGTTCGATCACCGAAGTTAAGCATCGTAGAGCCAGGTCAGTACTTAGATGGGGACCGCCAGGTACTGTAAGCCAGACCGGTTCTTCCGTTTTAGGGTTATCGTGGAATGATAACTGATGGGGGGGCAAACCTTCGCTTACGGTCAAATCACGAAAACACCTGGATCACCGTTAAGCCAGACCAGGTTCTTCCGTTTTACTGGGACCGGTTCTTCCGTTTTAGGGTTATCGTGGAATGATAACTGACACTCATGAGCGGAAATTGGGGCAAACGTCTTCGCTTACGGTCAAATCACGCTGAAAACACCGGTTCTCGTTCGATCACCGACGTTAAGCATCGTAGAGCCAGGTCAGTACTTAGATGGGGGACCGCTTGGGAACACCTGGTACTGTAAGCCAGACCGGTTCTTCCGTTTTAGGGTTATCGTGGAATGAAAACTGACACTCATGAGCGGAAATTGGGGCAAACGTCTTCGCTTACGGTCAAATCACGCTAAAAAAACACCCGTTCTCGTTCGATCACCGAAGTTAAGCATCGTAGAGCCAGGTCAAACGTAGTACTTAGATGGGGGACCGCTTTCGGGAACACCTGGTACTGTAAGCCAGACCGGTTCTTCCGTTTTAGGGTTATCGTGGAATGATAACTGACACTCATGAGCGGAAATTGGGGCAAACGTCTTCGCTTACGGTCAAATCACGCTGAAAACACCGGTTCTCGTTCGATCACCGAAGTTAAGCATCGTAGAGCCAGGTCAGTACTTAGATGGGGACCGCTTGGGAACACCTGGTACTGTAAGCCAGACCGGTTCTTCCGTTTTAGGGTTATCGTGGAATGATAACTGACACTCATGAGCGGAAATTGGGGCAAACGTCTTCGCTTACGGTCAAATCACGCTGAAAACACCGGTTCTCGTTCGATCACCGAAGTTAAGCATCGTAGAGCCAGGTCAGTACTTAGATGGGGGACCGCTTGGGAACACCTGGTACTGTAAGCCAGACCGGTTCTTCCGTTTTAGGGTTATCGTGGAATGATAACTGACACTCATGAGCGGAAATTGGGGCAAACGTCTTCGCTTACGGTCAAATCACGCTGAAAACACCGGTTCTCGTTCGATCACCGAAGTTAAGCATCGTAGAGCCAGGTCAGTACTTAGATGGGGGACCGCTTGGGAACACCTGGTACTGTAAGCCAGACCGGTTCTTCCGTTTTAGGGTTATCGTGGAATGATAACTGACACTCATGAGCGGAAATTGGGGCAAACGTCTTCGCTTACGGTCAAATCACGCTGAAAACACCGGTTCTCGTTCGATCACCGAAGTTAAGCATCGTAGAGCCAGGTCAGTACTTAGATGGGGGACCGCTTGGGAACACCTGGTACTGTAAGCCAGACCGGTTCTTCCGTTTTAGGGTTATCGTGGAATGATAACTGACACTCATGAGCGGAAATTGGGGCAAACGTCTTCGCTTACGGTCAAATCACGCTGAAAACACCGGTTCTCGTTCGATCACCGAAGTTAAGCATCGTAGAGCCAGGTCAGTTCTTAGATGGGGACCGCTTGGGAACACCTGGTACTGTAAGCCAGACCGGTTCTTCCGTTTTAGGGTTATCGTGGAATGATAACTGACACTCATGAGCGGAAATTGGGGCAAACGTCTTCGCTTACGGTCAAATCACGCTGAAAACACCGGTTCTCGTTCGATCACCGAAGTTAAGCATCGTAGAGCCAGGTCAGTACTTAGATGGGGGACCGCTTGGGAACACCTGGTACTGTAAGCCAGACCGGTTCTTCCGTTTTAGGGTTATCGTGGAATGATAACTGAAACTCATGAGCGGAAATTGGGGCAAACGTCTTCGCTTACTTACGGTCAAATCACGCTGAAAACACCGGTTCTCGTTCGATCACCGAAGTTAAGCATCGTAGAGCCAGGTCAGTACTTAGATGGGGGACCGCTTGGGAACACCTGGTACTGTAAGCCAGACCGGTTCTTCCGTTTTAGGGTTATCGTGGAATGATAACTGACACTCATGAGCGGAAATTGGGGCAAACGTCTTCGCTTACGGTCAAATCACGCTGAAAACACCGGTTCTCGTTCGATCACCGAAGTTAAGCATCGTAGAGCCAGGTCAGTACTTAGATGGGGGACCGCTTGGGAACACCTGGTACTGTAAGCCAGACCGGTTCTTCCGTTTTAGGGTTATCGTGGAATGATAACTGACACTCATGAGCGGAAATTGGGGCAAACGTCTTCGCTTACGGTCAAATCACGCTGAAAACACCGGTTCTCGTTCGATCACCGAAGTTAAGCATCGTAGAGCCAGGTCAGTACTTAGATGGGGGGACCGCTTGGGAACACCTGGTACTGTAAGCCAGACCGGTTCTTCCGTTTTAGGGTTATCGTGGAATGATAACTGACACTCATGAGCGGAAATTGGGGCAAACGTCTTCGCTTACGGTCAAATCACGCTGAAAACACCGGTTCTCGTTCGATCACCGAAGTTAAGCATCGTAGAGCCAGGTCAGTACTTAGATGGGGGACCGCTTGGGAACACCTGGTACTGTAAGCCAGACCGGTTCTTCCGTTTTAGGGTTATCGTGGAATGATAACTGACACTCATGAGCGGAAATTGGGGCAAACGTCTTCGCTTACGGTCAAATCACGCTGAAAACACCGGTTCTCGTTCGATCACCGAAGTTAAGCATCGTAGAGCCAGGTCAGTACTTAGATGGGGGACCGCTTGGGAACACCTGGTACTGTAAGCCAGACCGGTTCTTCCGTTTTAGGGTTATCGTGGAATGATAACTGACACTCATGAGCGGAAATTGGGGCAAACGTCTTCGCTTACGGTCAAATCACGCTGAAAACACCGGTTCTCGTTCGATCACCGAAGTTAAGCATCGTAGAGCCAGGTCAGTACTTAGATGGGGGACCGCTTGGGAACACCTGGTACTGTAAGCCAGACCGGTTCTTCCGTTTTAGGGTTATCGTGGAATGATAACTGACACTCATGAGCGGAAATTGGGGCAAACGTCTTCGCTTACGGTCAAATCACGCTGAAAACACCGGTTCTCGTTCGATCACCGAAGTTAAGCATCGTAGAGCCAGGTCAGTACTTAGATGGGGACCGCTTGGGAACACCTGGTACTGTAAGCCAGACCGGTTCTTCCGTTTTAGGGTTATCGTGGAATGATAACTGACACTCATGAGCGGAAATTGGGGCAAACGTCTTCGCTTACGGTCAAATCACGCTGAAAACACCGGTTCTCGTTCGATCACCGAAGTTAAGCATCGTAGAGCCAGGTCAGTACTTAGATGGGGGACCGCTTGGGAACACCTGGTACTGTAAGCCAGACCGGTTCTTCCGTTTTAGGGTTATCGTGGAATGATAACTGACACTCATGAGCGGAAATTGGGGCAAACGTCTTCGCTTACGGTCAAATCACGCTGAAAACACCGGTTCTCGTTCGATCACCGAAGTTAATGGGGGACCGTAGAGCCAGGTCACCGTTCTTCCGATGGGGGACCGCTTGGGGTCAACACCTGGTACTGTAAGCCAGACCGGTTCTTCCGTTTTAGGGTTATCGTGGAATGATAACTGACACTCATGAGCGGAAATTGGGGCAAACGTCTTCGCTTACGGTCAAATCACGCTGAAAACACCGGTTCTCGTTCGATCACCGAAGTTAAGCATCGTAGAGCCAGGTCAGTACTTAGATGGGGGACCGCTTGGGAACACCTGGTACTGTAAGCCAGACCGGTTCTTCCGTTTTAGGGTTATCGTGGAATGATAACTGACACTCATGAGCGGAAATTGGGGCAAACGTCTTCGCTTACGGTCAAATCACGCTGAAAACACCGGTTCTCGTTCGATCACCGAAGTTAAGCATCGTAGAGCCAGGTCAGTAACACCTGGTACTAGATGGGGGAGCGGAAATTGGGGCAAACGTCTTCGGGTCAACACCTGGTTCTCGTTCGAACCGCCAGACCGGTTCTTCCGTTTTAGGGTTATCGTTTTAGGAATGATAACTGACACTCATGAGCGGAAATTGGGGCAAACGTCTTCGCTTACGGTCAAATCACGCTGAAAACACCGGTTCTCGTTCGATCACCGAAGTTAAGCATCGTAGAGCCAGGTCAGTACTTAGATGGGGGACCGCTTGGGAACACCTGGTACTGTAAGCCAGACCGGTTCTTCCGTTTTAGGGTTATCGTGGAATGATAACTGACACTCATGAGCGGAAATTGGGGCAAACGTCTTCGCTTACGGTCAAATCACGCTGAAAACACCGGTTCTCGTTCGATCACCGAAGTTAAGCATCGTAGAGCCAGGTCAGTACTTAGATGGGGGACCGCTTGGGAACACCTGGTACTGTAAGCCAGACCGGTTCTTCCGTTTTAGGGTTATCGTGGAATGATAACTGACACTCATGAGCGGAAATTGGGGCAAACGTCTTCGGGTCAAATCACGCTGAAAACACCGGTTCTCGTTCGGGAAGTTAAATCGTAGAGCGTCTTCCGCTTGGGAACACCTGGTACGGTAAAACCGGTTCTTCCGTTTTAGGGTTATCGTGAAAAACACCGGTTCAAACGTCTTCGTTCGGTCAAATCACGCTGAAAACACCGGTTCTCGTTCGATCACCGAAGTTAAGCATCGTAGAGCCAGGTCAGTACTTAGATGGGGACCGCTTGGGAACACCTGGTACTGTAAGCCAGACCGGTTCTTCCGTTTTAGGGTTATCGTGGAATGATAACTGACACTCATGAGCGGAAATTGGGGCAAACGTCTTCGCTTACGGTCAAATCACGCTGAAAACACCGGTTCTCGTTCGATCACCGAAGTTAAGCATCGTAGAGCCAGGTCAGTACTTAGATGGGGGACCGCTTGGGAACACCTGGTACTGTAAGCCAGACCGGTTCTTCCGTTTTAGGGTTATCGTGGAATGATAACTGACACTCATGAGCGGAAATTGGGGCAAACGTCTTCGCTTACGGTCAAATCACGCTTGAAAACACCGGTTCTCGTTCGATCACCGAAGTTAAGCATCGTAGAGCCAGGTCAGTACTTAGATGGGGGGGGACCGCTTGGGAACACCTGGTACTGTAAGCCAGACCGGTTCTTCCGTTTTAGGGTTATCGTGGAATGATAACTGACACTCATGAGCGGAAATTGGGGCAAACGTCTTCGCTTACGGTCAAATCACGCTGAAAACACCGGTTCTCGTTCGATCACCGAAGTTAAGCATCGTAGAGCCAGGTCAGTACTTAGATGGGGACCGCTTGGGAACACCTGGTACTGTAAGCCAGACCGGTTCTTCCGTTTTAGGGTTATCGTGGATAACTGATAACACACCGGTTTTCCGTTTTAGCGTTCGAATGATAACTGGGGGGCAAACGTCTTCGCTTACGGTCAAATCACGCTGAAAACACCGGTTCTCGTTCGATCACCGAAGTTAAGCATCGTAGAGCCAGGTCAGTACTTAGATGGGGGACCGCTTGGGAACACCTGGTACTGTAAGCCAGACCGGTTCTTCCGTTTTAGGGTTATCGTGGAATGATAACTGACACTCATGAGCGGAAATTGGGGCAAACGTCTTCGCTTACGGTCAAATCACGCTGAAAACACCGGTTCTCGTTCGATCACCGAAGTTAAGCATCGTAGAGCCAGGTCAGTACTTAGATGGGGGACCGCTTGGGAACACCTGGTACTGTAAGCCAGACCGGTTCTTCCGTTTTAGGGTTATCGTGGAATGATAACTGACACTCATGAGCGGAAATTGGGGCAAACGTCTTCGCTTACGGTCAAATCACGCTGAAAACACCGGTTCTCGTTCGATCACCGAAGTTAAGCATCGTAGAGCCAGGTCAGTACTTAGATGGGGGACCGCTTGGGAACACCTGGTACTGTAAGCCAGACCGGTTCTTCCGTTTTAGGGTTATCGTGGAATGATAACTGACACTCATGAGCGGAAATTGGGGCAAACGTTGGGGCAAACGTCTTTCGATCTTACGGTCAAATCACGCTGAAAACACCGGTTCTTCGTTTTAGGGTTATCGATCACCGAGCGGAAATTGGGGCAAACGTTAAAATCACGCATCGTATCACCGAGCCAGGTCAGTAGGTCAGTACTTAGATGGGGGACCGCTTGGGAACACCTGGTACTGTAAGCCAGACCGGTTCTTCCGTTTTAGGGTTATCGTGGAATGATAACTGACACTCATGAGCGGAAATTGGGGCAAACGTCTTCGCTTACGGTCAAATCACGCTGAAAACACCGGTTCTCGTTCGATCACCGAAGTTAAGCATCGTAGAGCCAGGTCAGTACTTAGATGGGGGACCGCTTGGGAACACCTGGTACTGTAAGCCAGACCGGTTCTTCCGTTTTAGGGTTATCGTGGAATGATAACTGACACTCATGAGCGGAAATTGGGGCAAACGTCTTCGCTTACGGTCAAATCACGCTGAAAACACCGGTTCTCGTTCGATCACCGAAGTTAAGCATCGTAGAGCCAGGTCAGTACTTAGATGGGGGACCGCTTGGGAACACCTGGTACTGTAAGCCAGACCGGTTCTTCCGTTTTAGGGTTATCGTGGAATGATAACTGACACTCATGAGCGGAAATTGGGGCAAACGTCTTCGCTTACGGTCAAATCACGCTGAAAACACCGGTTCTCGTTCGATCACCGAAGTTAAGCATCGTAGAGCCAGGTCAGTACTTAGATGGGGACCGCTTGGGAACACCTGGTACTGTAAGCCAGACCGGTTCTTCCGTTTTAGGGTTATCGTGGAATGATAACTGACCAGCCGATCCCGCTCGATCTTGTGTTGTCTCCACGCTGGTCAGTACGGATGTCGGTCAGCTGAGGGTTTTCGTTGACCAGTTTGTTCCTTCATCTGTTCTGCCCACGTTGTGTTTTTTGATCAGAGTACTGTGAAGATCGACTTTCTGTCTGCACTTTAGCGTTGAATCAAGTTGGCAGAACCGTGCTATAACACAAGAACGCTTCAGCCGGTAAAAAAAAAAAACAAATATCATAACAAATAACGAAGAGGTTCGCTGGGTTAATTTTCAATAGGTTTATCTAATCGTTGATACAACAACATTAACCCTTCCTGTTCAACTCTCTATCGCGACACTGTATGTCTTGCTTCTAAAATTTGGATCGAATTAAATATTTACACGAGATATTAGGTTGGGCAACCTCGGCGCCAGATCACCTGGGGTTCAACAGCTCCCCCGTTCGCTGTTAATTCGTCTCAGCCTTTTCCAGCGGCAATTCCGACTGCTGGCTTCAACCGATCGTTCGGTTTATATGCATCTCACCCAACTCTCACTACACCTCAAAGCTCATTACGGATTCATCAATTAATTATTTTCCCCAATCATGGAGACATTACATCGATCCTAAGCAAAGCGGTCTTGTATTTCAAAACAACTTTAAAATTCCCTTTTTTGCCAACAATAATTTCTCGTCAATAAATTTTCGTGTTTAAAAATTTATTTCAAATCGGTAATTTTCTAAATCCGACCTAATTCCAAGTTCTATTGTTTACATTTTTGGTTTACTTGAATTCGGTCCTCGGCCGACAACGACCTTCAAATATTAACACACACAACTTAAAACAAAATTATTTATTTTAAATCGGCAAGGAATTTTCTACTGTTTTACATTGCTTAACAATTCTTATTTGCTTCTCCCTGTTTTGGACTTAACATTCCATTCGGAGTTTCTGTTTATCAGAAAGAGAAAAAAATCTCTTTTTTTTTCTCGGCTTCATATTTCAATTTGTTGGTTTTAACCTTAACGAGTTTTTAAAAAAAATGTTTCTCCAATTCTATAAAAGGGTTTCACATGAACCCCTTTAATCCTAATATCATACTACTAATGTCACGATAGTGTGATATTCCTTTCAACTACTACCAGTAACACTTTATACTGTTACACTATAACTAAGGAACGCTTCAGATAGTTGCAGTTTAAAGCAGAGATGGGCTTTATGTTGATTAAACACATATGTAACTGAGCAGGTGTTTGCAACAGAGATTGAGTAGACACCCTATGATAACATGATTCAATTCGATTAATATAAAAGTATTTTTTATGGCATATCACCTTTACTAAGTTAACATTTAAAGAACATAATTTAAAATAGATACTTGATAAATAAATCAGTAAAATTTTATAAATCTTTATTTTAATTCATTTCTATATTTTCCTTAACATCCAGATAATATTATCAAATTATATTTTGAATTAAATGTATTCATTATTTTTTTTTTTAGATATACACGATTTATTTTATTACCACAACTCTCTTTTAGTTTCTTACAACAAATCATTATATTTTACAAGCATTTTAACATTTTCCTATGTACTTTCTAAAGAATTAATGCATTTTTAATCCGACATTTTTATGACTTCAAACGTTATTTTTGGTGGATATGCATGTTTGAAATAGACGTCCGATTTTTATTTTTATTTTAATCTATGTGTTATGTTTATCTGCCTGCGCACTTAAGAAAACTTAATAAAGAAAATATACTCCCAGTCAGGGTGCGAACCCGTGACACCTTTCGTAGGAGAAACCATTGTTTGATCCGGCGTGATTTACCACTTAGCTACAGAGATCCTCATAATTCCGTAAGGCTCTATATTTTCTTTTCAGGAAAGCACATTTTCACTGTCATATATTTTCGCAAAGACCCATGTTTGCTTTGTTTTGTATCTGAAACGAAAACAAAGCAATTTCTGAAGGATTAATGGATTTTATTAACGGACATTTATATTACTTCAAACGTTAAGTGGATACCTTTGATTGAAATAGACATCTTGTTTATTATTTTAAATTGTGTATATTACGTTTATTTAATTTTATTATCGTGGAACTCGTAACGTAAATAAAATACCTGTGGAAATTTCCCTATTGCG